CGTGCATACGTGCATAAATGCATACATACGTTCATGCAAACACTCTCACGAAATCAAACAACATCACATCACATCACATCACATCACATCACATCACATCACATCACATCACATCACATCACATCACATCACATCACATCACATCACATCACATCACATCACATCACATCACATACGTACATGCATACACATAGACACATACACCTACATACAGACGAATGCACGCGTACACACATACATTCATTCGTTCAGAGACACACAAATACATACTTGCATACATTAATGCATGCATGCATGCTTGCATGCATTCATGCATGCATGCATACAGACATACGCAAGCTTAAGCATTGGCATTAGCAACACCAATAACCGATCCAAAATGGACTAAACTACATGACTTGTAACATGCACAAGCATAACATCACATCAAGTAACATGACATATCATGACATGGCACAACAATGACTTCACATCACATCCCGTCCAGCCATCCATACCTACATTTCTTAACAGCTCCAGCTGTCCAACCTGCCTCGAGACTTTGTTAATTATATTTCGTGACATGATGACATGCTAGCTGATACACTAGTTGTCTCACACGGACTGAGAATACCGTGAGAATGGCATAGAGCGTTGTTGAGCTTCGCCACAAACAGGAACAAGTACCGGATGAGAGCCCAACGTGAACATAGAAATGAATCACACACTTCTACCAAACAAATGAATCCAGGCTTCGTTCTTCCCTTATCCGATGAGTTCGACCTGGGATAAGGTGACAAGTCCCTAGCCAAAGCTGCAAGCCCTTAAACCCAAACCCACATGTCAACAGAATCCGGAATCTAAACGGCCAGGGTAATCTAAATAGACACCTACGCTTAAAACCTACTTTTAACAGTCCAAGCGCATCAGCGGTGTGGCGCCACTCCGGTGGTAAGCCAGCGCAGTCAACTTCGACGGGCTGAGTCTGTGCTTGATGCTCGCTCCCTCGGCCAGGTCTGGTTTAGGGCTTAGGGTGTAGGGTTTAGGGTTTAGGGTTTAGGGTTAAGGTTTAGGGTTTAGGGGTTCAGGCGGCTTAGTTATTGCGATAAGGCTTTCGCCCAAGCTTGGACCTCTTACAAACCCTGAGCCCGAAAGGTAGAAGCAAATGATAGTCATAAAGTAGAGCCCCTTTCCATAGACTAGCCTACACTACTACTATCCTAAAGCCGGATACCGAACTTTCGAAGAACTTTCGACTGCTAGGGTGAATCAATTAAGGATTTGATCACCCCAAAGCACCTCAGAAAACAGCGAAACACACAGACACACACTCCAGGGTTTAGGGTTTAGGGTTTAGGGTTTACCCCCTAACAAGCGATAAGCCTACAGCTCCGAAGCTCCAAAACCCCAAAACCCCCGCACTCCTACCTGAAACCTAGGGTGTAGGGAAGCCCGAGATGCCTAAAAACACTACCCATATAGGCCCCATAGTAGTTCCTTTTTGGGGGTTCATATTTAGAACCCTATAAGGTAATCCCAAAAAGGAACTACTTTGGGGCCTATGGGTAAACCCTTTTGAACCCTGAGCCCTAAGCCCCTTGGAAACCTAGGCCCGTGAGCCTAAACCCCAAAGCCAGAGAGCACCAAAACCCTCAACCCTGTAAGCGCAAGCCTACGTAGGCTCTAAACCCTTTACAGGAACCCTCTAAACCCCTTAGAAACCTGAACCCCTGAAAATGAACCCCATACAATCCCTTAGAACAACCCCTAAACCCTTTCCAGGAATCTGTTAGAAACCCCAAGCCTTCATAAGCAGCCACCAGGTAGGTTCGGTTGCCGAGATCTGGAAGCGCTCATCCACATCCGCCCGGGCATGGATCAAGAACCTGGGCGGCGCTGTGGTATGTCTTTTTCGTTGTGTGCGCGAGCGCCTATGTACTAGTATGCGGTTTTCAGTTTGTTGGAGGGTAGGTTAGGGTTCTGGGTTGCTTGTTTTGTTTGAGGGGCGGTAGGGTTAAGAGAGTAAGGGCTATAAATCACCTGAGCTGTTGTCTTGTTCGTCTTGTTCTGATTCTGATCCTCGCTGTGGCAGTTTTGACTGTTTAGAACCAGGACTGCTTTCCTGTTATTACTGTTATTTACGGTTGCAAGCCTAGCCTAATGTTTTTTTGTCTAGGGTTTAGTCAATCTAGGGAATCCAGGTGGGCACCTGCTGGGAGTCTTGTTAAAGGAAACTACAGGTGTTTCTATAAGGCTCCTATAACGGTAACTACCCACCTGAACATGTCCTAGATCTTGTGCACCTGTAGGGCTGCATCTGTATGATTGCTCATTGGGTCTGCTTGACGAGTTCTATCGCGTCGGGTTCCATGGGGCGTCGGGCAAGAACCAAGCCCCCGGCAGTTTGCACCTACTGGGTAGCATAGGGCTTCAGGGTGGGGTGGATTATATAAAGAACCACCACACATAGTATCCTAAGTACTATATCCCTAAACCCCAAACCCAGAACCCCGCAAAACGTTGAACGCTGAACCCTAAACAGACATTCCGGGTTCTTACAAACGGACCCTAATTAGGAGAACGACCCATGCGCTGTTG